TTAACTTTTATTTGCATGTGAATCATTTTACTTTTACTTACTTTTGGTGAAATTCTTTCTATTTATCGCTTCCATTTGACTTTACTTTTACTTTTCAACTTAACATTCAACAATCGCCAATACGGTTCAAGACATTGAAAATGAGCATTGCAAATATATCTCAATGTGTGAGTTATTTTATACAATATGTTGTTTTAAAACTGACTAATAAAGTAAATCAAAACCGTCATATTTGAATTAAGGCTCCGGTCGAATTTTGGCTACTTTTCCTAATCTGGCTGGAATCCGGCTCTTGTCAAAATGCAGCCGAATTTAGGATTTGAACCAGATGTTTGGCAATTTTGAATATATATAAATATTTATGTATGCATATAATCTGTTTCTGTGTATGTTTGAATATATGCATTTATCTACGCTTTTGCGCATTGTACATACATTTATTCTTATGTGACTGAACAGGTATGTAAGTGCAAAAAAATTATTGTACTTTACTTTTAGTTTTACTGGAAAAATCAATTTTCTTATACTTTTACTAACGAATCATTTTACTTTTAATATAAATTTACTTGAGTAAAATATATTTTCGGTAAAGGCTTCAGTCTGTTTTTATATTCCCGTGAATTTATTTAGTCATGATGAAAGTGCAAAATGATTTTTAAGAAGTTTACGCAGATTCACGTTTCCTTTTTTTAATGATTATTATCCGCTAAAGAACATGAAACACAGGTTGAGCTTCATGTTATAAGTTGAACATTAAAAACTTTACTGATTAATAACACGCCATTTTGCGTCTGCCTGCCCATTTGGCTTCACTTTTCCTTACTGATTCTTTTTTATTATTTAAAAAGATTTTTTAAAACGAAACAAAACAATTTTTACAGATATTTTTTTCATTTAATAAGTTTTATTTTTAAACAAAACCCAGTCAAACAAACGAAGAAACTTTCTGAAACATTAAAAGATCGTATGCAAGTGAAGAGATGCAAACACAAACAAACCTATCGAGTAGTAGATGCTGTTGGAGGAGGAGCCGCCACAAACCAGCGACTGACAGGAAGGATTGTTGGTGCACTCTGGAGGAATTATTATACTTAATCATTTGTTCTAATCCCTTTTTATTATATTAAAATGTTCATTTATTTCAGTTTTTAATGATTAGTTGTAAAATTTAAATTATTATAACGTGCAAGTTATTTAATTATTATCACCAACTTCATCGTCATCACTCCAAATTTGCGCTTCACAGAAATTTTAGATAAAATTGTTAATTATGATCATTGCATCATTAATGTTCTTGCCATTTATGGTGTAAATCGTCTCTAAAACTTGCTCCTATTTTGTCGTATCATATTACAAAAAATTCAAACTTCTTTCAGTTGTTCCATTATTCAGTAGAAATTATTTTATTTCGTATTTTTTATTTTACTTTTATTTTTCGGTTTGTTTTCATAAAAAATTACAGGAAAAATTTCGTTGCCGAGCAAATAGTAGTGATGAAATTATTTTTATCAGCGGTGTTTCAGATGTAACATTGCACTGAAACGCGCCTTAAACAAACACGAAAAAATTTCCAAATGAATGAGAACGTTTAGAATTAAACAGCATGTTTCAAAATAGACCAAATTTATATTTAAATAAACAATGCCCTTGAAACAAAAAAATTAACATGAGAGAGGAAATTAATGACAAAGAACAGGAAAGAACAGAGCTTGCACTGAGCGGCTCTTATAATCACAGAACAAAATATTATTAATGCAAGATCATTATCATCATTTTTCTGATAAAATGATGATAATTAAAATCATAATCATCACTTCCTTCGTGACTAAACATCATTATCATCACCATCTTTCTCCAAAATCATCATCATGAAGAGCTTGAACCATTGGACGTACCAGTGCTCAGTCCATAGTCTCCGTAGTCCTCCCCGCAAAAACAGTAGGTGCTCTTCTGCAGGCCGCAGTAGGGCCTCCCCAGCTTCTGACACTTGCGACAGCAGAGGTCAGGCTCTGGTGTGGCGATGACGGAGGAGTAAGCGCTCATATCAGGGTTTAGCGCGGAATCCTTGTAGCATCCGTTAAATATGTAACCAACCTCGCTGAGAGCTTTCGAGGAAAAAACTGTGGTTTGAAGAGATGGCCATTTACAAAAAATCAAAAGGTGATAAATATGATAAGCCGAAAATATTTGGTAAATGTCAGAAAAAAAAAATCTTATTATTGGCGATAAATAGTTTAAAATTCAATGAAATAATTTACAAATTTATAAATCTCATCAAAGGATAAAGTTAACATATTTATAAATGCAAACCTTTCCCAATGATGAAGCAACATTTGAAAAGGAAACAAATGATGTCAAACGACATTCTTCTTTATCAGCCAGCTAATTATGGGTTTAAGTTTCAAATATCTTTGTATTAGAAATAAGTAAGTTTTTAATTTAGTGCGTTTATGAAATTTGTATTAATGCAGTTCATACTAAACAACGACAATACTTTATTTTAATTTATTCACGTTGTTTAACGAAATTTCCCTTCACATCATCTGGAAGGTACTACGTGATTGCTTGTCAGTCAACCGAGCCTACAACGTACAGCACGTCATCCCTATCATTTTATATAACGTGTTTGTGCTTTGTTGCATGCCATTTTACACACGCAAAACATGTTATATATATGGCCTTATTTGCAGCATGAATTTGAAAAATAAGTTTATTTTGAATTTTAATCGAAAAAACGAACTACAAACATATTAATCTATATATAACGAACGAAAATACTTTATTTGAACCAACTGAAAGAAAAATTTAAAAGAAAATAAATCCATCAGACAGCTGATTCCGGAGACCACATAAGATAAAATAATCTTGTGAAGGCCACCGTGATCACTGAACAGTTAACTAAAATTTATATACTTTTATTAATTAAACATAAATGAAAGATAAATGTAAATTTGATGGATTACATACATAAACCAATGTATGTATATATATATATATATATATATATATATATATATATATATATATATATATATATATATGTACATGTATATGCGTATATCATGTTTACAAAAAAAATAAACCATTCTTAACTTAACCCATTCTTAATCATAATTGAAACAGTAATAATTTCAGTTCGTGAATTCACACTATCGTTCCGATTAGCCGCAAACAAGAGGGCTGGACATATTGTATTAAGACTATTAGGAACTTACTTAGCCCTAACTATATCATCATCTACATTTAATTCTGCTATATTAATACTTATCTCCTCTGGATACATTATATTTAAATTTGCTATTTGCCTAATTCAAGCATATATTTTCTGTCTCTTACTATCCCTATACACAGATGATCACACCACTCAAACATTAGCAAACCTATGCATTTCAATTTCGGCTCCAATGTTTAAACTTTTAAACTTTTAAACAAATTTTAAACTTTTGAGATTTTTGAAAAGTTTTCCGACGAAGGACGAGTTAACGTATTAATTTTTTTTGAAAATTTATGTGAGTTTTTAGGATTAAATTTTCGCATTTAAAGAAATTTTTAACGTTGTTCCGATACGGTTTTTATTGAAAATTTATTAGGGGTTTTACATGAAAATTTTTGAAAAATGGCAAAAAAAAATTACAATAGGTGTCTCCTATGCAAAAAAAAGGCCCTTTCTACCGTAAACGCCTGAGAACAAATGTCGTTTAAAGACCGTTTTAAGGCGATTTTTTTGGGTGATTTTTTTTTATTTTTTACGACGGGTTAAAATTTTATTTGGGGTGTAATTTAATGTTTTTCCGACAACATGCCCAAAAAACAGTTTTAAAAGATGTGTTTTGGAGACTCGGATATTGTTCAGTCGAGCATTTTAGGAGTAACTTATTTTGTTATCACTAAAATCTAATATATTATTTTGTCGCTAGTTTGTACCAATTATATAATAAAAAATTTAATGTTTAACTATCAAAATTTACAAAATTCAGCCAACGACAACAAAAATCATTACTTTTTTGACAAATTCACACAAAATTATTGAATTAATATTTTACAATCTGTCAAATGCAAACTTAAAAAACATTCATAAGCTAAAAAGATGGAAAGAAGACGCGATCGATTTTACATTAAAAACTATAAAATTATTAAAATGGTTCGCCAGTCCTGAAATCAAATTTCAAATAATTAACAAGCTTTTGTAAATTGTTTTACTTCATAAAGACACAATCGTCAAACAACTAAATTATAATGTTTCTGAAGCTTTCTAAAGAACTTATAAAATATTAAACTAAAACACCATTAACAAAAAATATAATTTCCTTCTTAACGGCCTTAATAACGAAAGAAGCCAAACTTACCTGGCACAGGAGATACCGTGATCATCAAGGCGGTTCTCTCAGAACGAGGTTCAATCATTGCACTGAGTTTGAATTGACTTCTGCGATTACCCCAAATGTGGGTAACTCGGGTGCATAATTTCTGATAGTGGGGAGGCTGCGTTCGCGCTTCTTCCCTGATTAACAAGTTTAAAAAACGTTTGTGAATTAAATCTAGTGTTGTTTGTGTTCGTGTGTCGTGATATTTTGTTTTATTTTGTTGACTGAAAATGTTGATTGTTTCATTGAATTTGATTATAAGTAATTTTGTTCTGAAAATTATTTTTCACAATTTGCTAATTGCTTACGTTCTCTCAATTAAAAGAAAATGAAGATTAATAAAGACAAATTGTTCTTATAGTTCTTGAATTAATAATTCTCTAAGCAATATAAGTAATTTTGTACAACTGTCCATCTAATAAAAACATTAAATGCGTTTGTGTCGTAAATAAATGTGAAGTAAAACTCATACAGTTCATATTATTATGTAAATCAATCAACACACACACACACATTCAAAGACTAACACACATAGAAACACGCTGACATACACCATCTGATTATAAACTGTAAATTACCACGACTGACGCATTTATTGTTCCACAGAAGGTAACGCTGACGAAAGCTAGACCAATGTGCATGCATTCTGAGCATAGGAGGTTAGCAATGCGCGCAGTGAAAAACATACACACAGACTCATACACAGACGAAGACACATACAGAGAAATATTATACAAATAAGTGAAAGACACACGTGACCGTAATTTATCATGATGGAAGGTAAATAATTTTTCACGAAAGTACAGACTAGGTTATTAGACCATTGTACAGCCATTAAGACGCCAATGCGCAGACACTCTCTGATAAATTTGATAATATATATATATATATATATATAGAAAATTTGATAATATATATATATATTATCATATATATATATTATCATATATATATATATTACATATATATATTTATTTATTTATTTATATATATATATATATATACACACAATATTCTATAAATTCTACCGAATGTTTGGCGTTAATGTGTTTGTAGTTCGTTTTTTCGATTTTTCTCACTAAAGTTTTTTGGTGAACGTTTAGTTTATTAAAATCTAAAATAAACTTATTTTTGGAAATCATGCTGCAAATTAAGGCCATATTTCGATTCCGAATGAATCAACATCAGTGCTTCTTGTTGTTTATATAGGGAAATAGTGACTTTGATACTACGTCATCCATTATAGTTAGTGCAGAAGACGATTGTTTTCAGTGTAAAAATACCGTGAAACAAACGCATCAGTCCATTACATATATATAATTTTCTAAATGTAAAAAATTGGATGTAGTTTGATCGGATTATTTCACTGATACATTAACACAAGTCCGTAACCATACTAACAAAGCATAAACCTTTATTTTGATCGCTAGAGTGTAAGCGAAATAAAATCTAAAAAATAAATATAAAAAAAAAATAGATATAATTTTTTTTAATGTATAAGCTATTTCTTCAATATTTCAAATTGGACTAAATAAGTCGAGAAAAATAAACAAATTAAAAAACACCATAAAGTAACTTAGCACAGAGCTATCTAATTGGCTGAAAAATAATTAGGGTCATACTAACCTGGCACAGTTGATACCGTGATCAATAAGGCGGTGCTTCCGGGACGAGGTCCGACCATTGCACTGAGGTCGGATTGACTTCTGCGATTACTCCAAATGGGGTAACTCGGGTGCATATTTTCTGAGTGTGAGGAACTGCGTTCGCGCTTTTCCTCTAATCTGTTACACAAATATAAAAGTTTTATGGTTGTTGGTTTAATGTTTGGATTACGATTGCTAGTTTGAATTTCTTGACTGTTTGAAGAATTTTGGAATGACTATTTTGCTGAATGATGTTTGGTCAGATTAGAAATTGGTTAAAAAAGCAGGTATTTTGTGTCTGTTAATATGTTATATCCAGCTTGGTTGATTTTCAAGTTAATTACCTCACATTAAAATTTAAAAATACATCTAAACGCACTTACACATTAAACGTCGTGCTAAATGAAATGAACATTTAGTTGATATATTTTCAAACATAGAATTCAAATTACTTCTCGTAATATATTATAATACAAACATTTACATAAATTTTTCATGCATTTAGTTTGTACGTTATTTTCGTAATTTATTATAAGCCCAACATTGTATGCAAATAAATTTAATATTCTTGACAAAAATGAAATTAAATTTAATGTATTTGTCCGCAATACGATGTTATTTTTAAGAGTACGGCTACGATTATTTTTTGTAGATCAGGTTTGATTGTCAAGGATTGTCAAACCTTATTCAAATTTTGAAAGTAAAAATTTTGGTAAACTTTGCAATTGATATAGAATATTTTACAATTAATAACAGGAAAAGGATGAACCCGTTAACCATAGCAAAAGAAAATCCATTATCAAGTAATTAACATTAGAAACACCAGCCTTATTTTATGGCACTAATTAGCATTAGGGTCTGTTAGAAGTGCTTCATTTGTGCATTGAAAATCTCATCCAGAAACATTCAAATTTGTTTATATTGACAAATACAAATATACTAAAAAGACTCATCTGTTAATTAACGTCAAAATAGCATAAACTTTAACCCGTGACATTTTTTCCGATTCTTGTAAATCATGCACCAAGCCAGAACAACTCTGAAAACTTGAATATATTTTTTTGTTAGTCTTTTATAATTTCATAAATATGTACTAAAATTACATTGCTTCAAACATCGAGATGGAGTTTATTATTCCCCATTGGTTGTTCTAAGTTTTGATGAAAATCAATTAAAAAACGATTCGAAAATGATGAAAATAATTTCCATCATTGTCAAACATTTGTCAAAATATAAGATCAATTATTTACTCAAAATGAATTTTAAAGTTGTGGCTTCAAATAGGTACTTGAAAGTGAAGTATGCTGTTATGATGCCGCCATTGAAAATAAGATGAAGTTTAATTTAAACTATTTCTTTTTTGTTTTAGTTTAAATTTATATCACACTTGAACAAATTTTAGCCATTTAAGTTACATTTCATATTTTTTTTTATGTTTCAATATATTACTTGTTTAATTTAATAATCATTAGATAAACCCCAATTGCAAACTGGAAAAAGTGAGATATACCACTAAATAATATTTACCATCTCATGAATTCTTTTTTGGTCGCCAGGCTTTTATTTTTCAGTAGATCTAATGGTTTGTTTATTAAAAAATAGAACAATTCTAAAAATTTAACTCAAATTTTATACAATGAAATAATTTTTAAATAAACATTGCCAACAACTTTCAATGACGATACAGTTTTAACTGACAAAAACACCCCATTCAAACTCAAAACATTTGCTTTTATAACACCACTAAAATTTTTGTATCATACTTACTTGGCACAGGAGTTTACGTGATCAAGAAGGCGGACCTCCCAAACCGAGGCTCATCCATTGCACTGAGGTTGAGTTGAAGTTTGCGATTACTCCAGAAGTGGGTAAGTCGGGTGCATACTTTTTGATAGTAGGGACTGCGTACGCGCTTTCCTTGCACTAGTTAAATATATTACATGAAAATATAATCAGCAATTTTTTCGAGTTTGTCGAATCTATTGTTACATTTTCTTGATTTAAATTTTTTTTTAAGTATTACAACTGGTGAAAAATTATTCTAACTTTGTGTCAGATCGGTTTTGAAAGACGTGTTTCGGAGTCTCGGATATTGTTTAGTCGAGCATTTCAGGAGTAACTTATTTTGTTATCACTAAAATCTAATATAATATTTTGTCGATAGTTTCTAAAAAATATAATAAAAAATCAAATTTTTAACTAATAAAATTTACAAGTTTAAAATGTTGTATTTTGCCACAACAAAAATTCATTGCTTTTTTGACAAATTCACACAAAATTATTAAATTAATATTTTACTTGAAATTTACCTATCAATCCGCAACATTAAGAGTCATATTCAGTTGCTGT